TGTCTCGGAGGAAGTTTTAAACACTAAACTTACAAAAGCAGAATTGGCGGAAGCACTCGGAATGCTGGAAAGTGACTTGTTTGTTGAGCGAATATTCGCATGCATGGCGAAAGAGGATACAAATCGCGTCACTTTTCGGGAATTCTTGAATGTGGTCTCTCGATTTGCCCGAGGTATCTTAATGATGGCCTTCTTTTGCGCTATTATTAACAACTTTTTCAAGGAAAATTGAGGAAAAACTGGGCGAAATGAGAGCTAAATGATAGTAATGGTGAAACAAATTTTTGGAAATTGGAGGGCAATGAAACTCTTTTAGCCTATTAACGTCAAAGATAGGCCCAAACTAGTTTATTGCACTATAGCTGGAGTTATATTACTCGAGAAACAGTTTTATGTTTTCTTCAGGGTCACTTCGAGACAAGCTTGAGTTGCTGTTTGATATGTGTGATCGAGAGGGCCAAGGTCGAGTGCACAAAAAGGAATTCTGTGATTTCGTGAAATCGCTAAATTTCGCAGCTGGCGTTAAAATTGAAGAAACGGTCCAGGATGGGGTGATTGAGACGATGCTGCAGCGGTCGGGCATTGATGCGGAATCCGATTTTTTGTCATACAAGGATTTTGAAGCTATCTTTAGCAACGTGGAAGACGCGCGGCGACCAGTCGGCGTACACATGCGTGGTGTTAAGCTTAAAATCAATCTTGATGAGTTCGTTTCTCTCATTTACTAAGATTGTTCTTAATTACACTTTAAGTGATTTCATAGCTGCAGCAGTGTGATGTGAATAACTCCCGATAGAAAAAAAAAGCTACACATAAAAATTGGCCGACCTTGGAAAATCACGCTGATAAGAGCATCCTGAGATATTTTTCAAGCAGTCTAGTCGATCTCAGTTATTCAATTATTGCGTTATCTGGCTCTACATTTTTGTTCGGTTTTCGGATGTTATTATTTTCATTCCACAAGTTTTTGTTCCTTGTTACTGAAGTTTGCGCATTTTCACTCAGTCTTTTACGCTTCATCCCTCTACTTGGACAATTACAACTCTTATATATCCGGAATGAGCACTACCCCTTCTCCTAGATTCATCTCTACCATAATCATTTGCAAAAGACAAAACCCTCTTCATATTCACTCTCTGTTTGGAGCGGAGGCACTAGAAAGTATTCCGAGAATAGCAAGTGGCAACAGTAACTACAGCTGGCAAGTCTACCGATGATTCC